CATACACCCAGCAGCGCTGCTGATGCCTGAACGGTATGTGGAATGAAGTGGGCGGGCATCAGGAGGCCCTATGGCACGGGGCAAGCACTATGGGCAGTCTATCTGAAGTGTACCTGGCATATAAGATGACCCCCCACTTGGAGGCATATTTTTCAGGGCCAAAAAATCGTCTTATACGCCGGCAAATACGGTATACTTTTATGCTACATTTTTAAAAAATATATTTTATTGATTTTTTATAGAGAGGAAGGGAGAGAGATAGAGACTCAGAAACATCGATGAGAGAGAAACATCGATCAGCCACCTCCTGCACACCCCCCACCGGGGATGTGCTCGCAACCCAGGCACATGTCCCTGACCGGAATCGAACCCGGGACCCTTCAGTCCGCAGGCCGACGCTCTATCCACTGAGCCAAACCGGTCTCGGCTATGCTACATTTAATTAATGTGTTAGCAAGAAGACTAAGTCAACAGTTTTCTTTAAAATATTATTAAAATCTTAAAAAAATAAAATATCTAACTGATATTTATAGCATAGATGAATAGAAATGTTGAAAATTTTCTATATATTTCCTAATGTTTACAATGCCATTATTTCTTACTAATAACTCAATAATTATTTCTTCCTCAATGTGTCATAAAATATATATTACAGACATCCTATATAATAAAAGGGTAATATGCAAATTGACCCTAATGGCAGAGCGACTGGGAACGACCAGTCACTATGATGCACACTGACCACCAGGGGGCAGATGCTCAATGCAGGAGCTAACCCCTGGTGGTCAGAGCGCTCCCACAGGGGTAGCTCCGCTCAGCCACAAGCCAGGTTGATGGCTGTGAGCACAGCAGTGGTGGCGGGAGTCTCTCCCGCCTCCTCGGCAACGCTAAGGATGTCTGACTGACGGCTTAGGCCCACTCCAAGCCATCAGTTAGACATCCCCTGAGGGCTCCCAGGCTGCCAGAGGGATGTCTGCCAGCTTAGGCCCAATACCCCGGGAAGTGGGCCTAAGCTGGCAGGTGGACATCCCCGAGGGGTCCTGGACTGCGAGAGGGCACAGGCAGGGCTGAGGGACCCTGCCAAGTGCACAAATTTTCATGTACCAGGCCTCTAGTATATTATAATGATATCCACATAATATACTATAATTCACTCTACAGACTTTATATACACTTTGCCTTACTATGTGACTTTATTATTTAGTTAACCTTGATTAATAAGCTACTAATTCATGTAGATGTTTCTTTTTTAGGTATCAGCTAATTTTTAAGTATATATGTATTTTCAATCAACTATAATTTTTGTAGACCATCACACTTATATTTGCATGAAAATAAATTTGCTTCATAAATC